ATTGAACGCAGACGTCGCAATAAAGCCACATCCATCCAGGCGTCAGTTATTTCAGCATATTATATCATATATTCATAATATATAATAGGATAAGATGCTGCCGCATACTAGGAGATATGCACGAATTAATGTGGTAGTATGTATGGATGCACCGGCCTGTCAAGTCTCCATCCCCCAAGTGGGAATGGAAAGGAAAAAATGAGGCAGAGCCAATGCGGTTGGTGCTGCGCGATCGAAAGAGAGAGAGGGAGCAATGATATTATTGGCCCATTCCTTACTACTCTACTAATTGATTATCATAACGTTACGTAGGCGATTGCTTGCTTGCTTATTAGTGGTGCGTAGGCATAGCCATCAGCATGATTTGGCCCGGCCTGTTTGGTTGTTTGCACTTTGCGGTGGTGCATATTGCGGGATGTGGGTGGCTGGCCTAATTATGCTCAGCTCCATGCATGCAATCCCTAATCCTCTAGTACGTACGTACCACCTTGTTGGTATTAAACAACGAAATAAACACCGTCCGCAGGTTCAGGGGCTGTTGTTTTCGCCCGTTAATGTGTGAGGGAGACCAAAACCTGCATGCGTATACACGGTTGTCTACTGCTCACATGCATGGTTAGCTGAGAGGGACTGTCCATCCGTCATGAGTGAAAGCGTTGGGTACGTAGCTGGAGATGGTTAGTTAACTTACCGTCAACCATTGAGCTAGTAATGCTGATAGTTTACTGAAGGAACACTGTCCTATGCCGGGTGGTATAAAATACTATGTACAGTAGCAGCATTGTGAATGTGAACAACCGAGACGAAAGAGAAGAGTCTCCTTGTCCACTCCCACCTAACCTAATAACCCAACCCGAGTGGAGTACCCGCAAAAAAAAAAAACCCGAGTGGAGTAGTAGTAGAGTAGATCCAAGATTGCGCCCCTGCTATACGTATGACCCTACATCATCATGCGTGCGATTACCATCCACCCTCACCACCACCACCACCAACAAAAGCGACTAATTTAAACAGCAAAATAACAAAAATCAACACTTTCAGTTAACCAGGAGCAATTCGCTTGCTTACGAACGAACGAGATACTCTAGGCAAGTAGGCATTGGCATCTCCCAAGATGTCATGGACCGGTTCGTGCATGTTTCTCCCAGGAAGCGGCCGAGAGCGCGCCCAGGCCGCTTCCTCCACCGTCTCTGTTGGCCAGCACGCGCACTGCACGGCATAGATAGGTACGTAGATGCCTCCAACGTCCGCACAGCTGTGGCTCACGTGTCGCGGCGAGCTCCTCCGAAACTGAAACTGACTCCACCGGCAAGCGTCCAACGCGAGCCACTCGGCCGCGACAAGCCGGCTGACATGGACGCCGTCGTCCGTCCGTCGCCACAGCGATGCAGCTCCGGACGGACTCGCGCCGCGCACGGAACGGAACGGGAGAGAGCGGCAGCAAACGAACGGAAAGTCAGAAACTGACGCCGCTCTAACTGAGCTCGACGCAGCGGCCATCCGTCCCCGTATGGCCGTATGCATGCCCGTCCGGCCGTCGCGCCGCTAGTAAATGTGAAACCGGGCCGGAGCCGCCGGTGCCGGAGCGTCACGACTCACGACCACCGTGGCCCGGCCGGGGGGACGGACCGGTCGGTCCAGCTTGCATTCCGTCCCCTGCCAGCCGGGCCCCACCATCCCCCCACCCGGGCCCACACCTCCGTATAAATTCGCAAACCACCACGCACACACCCTCGGCGGCAGCAGCAGCGGCATACCAGGGAGACCACAGCCCACGCTCACTGTCCATGGAGAGGACGCAGGGCTTCTTCGCGGCGCTGAAGCAGGAGGTGGCGCGCGGGCTGTCGCCGGCGAGGGCGCGCCGGAGGTCCGAGTCGGCCGACCTCGACGCCGCCGCGCTCCGGTTCTCCGGCCCGGGGGAGATGCTCGCGCCGCTCATGGAGGGCCCCGATCCGGAGTCCGGCGACGGCTACGGCCGCGCCGCCGGCGGCGCCAGGAGGGAGGGCTGGGGCCGCTGGGTGCGCGGCCAGCTCGCGCGCACGCCCTCCTCGGTCGCCGCCGCGGCGGCCGGCGCCGGCGCCGCCCGCAACGACCTCCGCCTCCTCCTCGGCGTCATGGGCGCGCCGCTCGCGCCCGTGCACGTCTGCGCCGCCGAGCCGCTCCCGCACCTCAGCATTAAGGACACCCCCATCGTAAGCGCTTCCTCTTCCTCTCCTTCCTCCTCATGCCGCTGTCTTGGTCTCTTTCCCTAGCTCTAGATTTGGTCGAGCCGCGTCGCGTGTTCGACGAAATGCTCCAGTCAAATCTCTTCTCAAATGTCCGTGTCTGAGCTCTCTTGATTCTTCAGTTCATGGTCCTGCATACTGTAAAAACGCAGTACTTACTCATGCTCACCGTGCTGTAAAAAAATGTCCCTTATCTTCTTCGCTGATGTCTGCTGCATTTGTTGTCTAGTGATGCTGTTTGTTCCTTACGATAAAGATGTGCGAAATTTCGTCACCAAGCTGTTTGATTCAGGGAGCAAAATCACAAACGTCCAGTAAACATGGTTATTTACTGTCACGAGCTTTTTGCCTACACAGGAGACCTCGTCGGCGCAGTACATTCTGCAGCAGTACCTGGCGGCCTCTGGTGGGCACAGGCTCCTCGCCTCCGTGCGCAACTCCTACGCCATGGGCAAGGTGCGCATGGTGGCCACCGAGTTTGAGAACGCCGGCCGCCTAGTCAAGAACCGCAATGCGGCTCGCTGCGCCGAGCCAGGCCGCTTCGTGCTATGGCAGATGGCTCCTGAGAAGTGGTACATCGAGCTGGCTGTCGGTGGGAGCAAGGTGCATGCCGGCTGCAATGGCAAGCTTGTGTGGCGCCATACCCCGTGGCTCGGCTCCCATGCCGCCAAAGGCCCTGTTCGCCCCCTCCGCCGTGCTCTGCAGGTATAATTGCACCGCCCAGCCCACGCCTAGCATGCCATTGCCTGTGCCCATACAGCCATGGAAATATCTTGGCACTTTTACTCAAATGTTTGGATCAATGTCTTTCTATAGGGCCTGGATCCACTCACTGCAGCGAGCATGTTTGCCGGTGCACGGTGCATTGGGGAGAGGAAGGTGAACGGGGAGGATTGCTTCATCCTGAAGCTGTGCACTGACCCAGAGACCCTCAAGGCACGGACCGAGGGCCTCGCCGAGATCATCAGGCATGTCATGTTCGGGTACTTCAGCCAGAGGACCGGCCTCCTCGTCCACATCGAGGACTCACACCTGACGCGGATTCAGTCAACAACCGGCGGGGATGCGGTCTACTGGGAGACCACCATCAACTCATTCATCGAGGACTACCGGCCGGTGGATGGCATCATGATTGCGCACTCGGGGCGCTCGGCCGTGACCCTGTTCCGCTTCGGCGAGGTGGCCATGAGCCACACCAAGACTCGGATGGAGGAGGCGTGGAGCATCGAGGAGGTTGCGTTCAATGTCCCTGGCCTGTCCATGGACTGCTTCATCCCACCCACCGACATCAAGTCTGGATCTGTTAGTGAGACCGTCGAGCTCCCTCATGGTGGTGAGAAGAGCAAGTTCGGTCCTCCCCCTGGTCACCGCGCCAAAGTTGCTGCGCTGGAGAAGACGGATGGTGGCGAGCTAGCATGGAGGGGAGCCCATACCTGAAAATCACAAATCATACTTGCTTCTTTTCATTGCAACTGACTGATGAGTAGTGTAGAGAGAAACAGGTCGACAGAGGATTTCGATTTTGGAAATTCCAAATGACCTCTGTGTACAGGAAGGAAGGAAGCAGCATGAGGCATTCACATGGTGCGAAGAATCGTTTCTAATCTCTTCAAGGGGGAGCGGCAGTAGGTAACCCTGTTTGCTATTTCAGGCTTTTTTGTCAGTATCATGTGGAAGACTTGGTGCGTTCCCCATTCCAACAACTCTACCTGAGAAAGCTCATCGTGGTGGCGCTGTTTGCTCCCCTTTAGCAAATACTAATTGGTCAGTGACACTACATCCAATTGGCTGCTCAGTTTGCTAATTGCTATGCTTGGTGATGGTTCCTGGTGAAGCTAACCATGTCAGAGGAGCGCAACCTCTTAGGTTTTCCATAGTTCTTCCTTCCTTCGCATCTCATCTCTTATTTTTCCTGAGATGAAGGTTGTTGTACTCATTGACAGAAGCTTTGCTTGTTTCCTTGTAATCCAAAACATCTAATGAGTGAAGTGTCTTGTGATGTCCCTGTTTTTGCACACCACACCACGCCCCCGGGAGGGAATGATTTCAGCTTTTTCCTGGAGATGTTTGAACGGCATCAATGTGCCTTTTTGGGCCGCTTGCATTTTACTTTGGCCTGCCAGTGTGCTGGCGGGAGTAGTGATGATTCATTTACTGCCATGATTAGCATGGCCCCCATGTGCTCCTTCCATTCCACCCCTGGCCCAGGTGCCGCTGTCAAAGCGTGTTACCCTGATGACACAGGGTGATTTTACCCCTTTTATAATCTGTACTCCTGAGCAGCACTGATGAGCTTTGTGAGCCTTTAATTTTTCTTTCGGTGTGCTCCGTCCATGAAGAGTGAAGACCGAGGCTTCACTCACCGTGCTGCTGCCACCTTTCCCTTGGCATTAATGACATGTATTGCACTCCTTTCTTGTTGTGAGGAGCTGTGATGATAGATTTATTCTTGGGGCTGTGTGTTCTTCCTGGGAAGAAGGGACCAATGTCTGATGAGGTGAAGATAATATTCTCAAGTCCACTGTCTTTAGCAGCGTCTCACCTATTGGGAACTTGCAACTCACACGCCGATCCTCCAAGGTCAAATTCTTGTCTTGAGTAATATTCTCAAGTCCACTTGAGGAGGAGTATAGTATGGTTTGTAGTTTCAGACTTGTTTATACTCCTTGTTTATTTATTGTCCGTTCCGTAGACGCTCTTCTGCTGCCTACGGTGGGTGTCTGTGCGGCCTCTGCTGCACAAGTTTTGAGCCCTGGCATTCGGGAGATATGCTCGTTCTTCAGTTCCAATGGAGAAGCTACAAATGAGACCTCAAATCGACAGGTAGAAGTCGCCCGTACTCCTCCCGAGTGTGGAATGAAACGGAGCAAAGCCAGTTAGAGATGCCATTACCATGTGTAGCAGCGCAGCCACAGCCTCATGACAGCCGCAAGCTAGGCTAGCAGCTTTGACAATGGCGCCTAGCCAGCCATCGTGTTCATACACGCACAAAAGGCTACAAAAAGATTGTATGCTAGGGTTAATCAAGCAAGCAGGAGCGGCCTACTGCCACTCACTGTCCATGCTATGCTACCACTGCTACCATGAGCAGCAGCGAGGAGAGCAGGCCAAATGATTGATGTTCCTTGTTGTTGAGTTGTGTAAATGTGTGAATATGTAACAGTTGGGGGGCTAAGATGTAAAAGCGCATATCTATATAGAATAAAGAGAAAGAGGAGGCTGGATAAGGCGCTCCAGATTTTTCCCCATTCTAGTTCTTCCTTCTACCATCTTCTAATCCAGATTTGTTGAATATTTCTCTGATTTACAACATAGTATCAGGGCAAGACGATCCTAGTGCGTCTCTCGCTCTGCCGTAACACCGCATCGTTGAGGTGTTGCCGTCGTGTGGCGGCTGGAGCTCGTCTTCGCTCAGATCCTTTGCGATTTGGTGGAGCCAAGCAAGATCGAGGGTTCGGCAGAGAAGAACGACGAATACGGTGCGGTGCTGTTCTCACTTTAAGTTGCTGAGATTCCGGTCAGTTTGAGTCCTTTGTGATTCAGTTCTCTTTTCTGTGGCTGGGGCAACTTCTTTTGCTGGGCTGATTTGGTAGTGGTGAGTTTGGCTGATACAAACTTGTGACCTGTGAGTCTTATTTGTGGTCTGTTGCCGTAGAGTTCTCTTGCTAGTTAGTGACCATGGGAGACAAAGACAAGGACAAGGGTGCAGATTCAAGTGTTGAGAAATTATGTGAAAGTATGCAGCGAATGCTTGCTCAGCTGATGGAGCAAGCACAGGTTAAGTCTAGTAGCTCGGCTGAAATTCAGAAGTCTGTCCTCGAACCAAATCCAGTAAAATAAACTGGTCCGGGTGACTATTTTAGTTGGGCTCGCAATGCATCATTAATTCTGGAAGCGCATGGTTTGCATAAGTACCTAAATGAAGACGAGAAAAAGCCAGGAGAGGTAATGCAGGAACAATGGGAGCAGAATCAGAAGCGAGTCATGGTTTGGCTGTTGGGCTCAATGGAAAAAACTGTTCGGGAACAAGTTGAAAGTTTTCAAACTGCTGCTGAAGTCTGGACAAGTATTGAAAAACAGTTTTCTGGCAAATCAAACAAAATGCAGGTTAGCAGAATACTACATGAGATGTGGCACTTTAGACAAGACCAGAAATCAGTTACAGAGTATGCAGGGGAATTGAAGAAACTTTACAGGGATCTAGAGTTTTTTAGACCATTCAAGCCACATGATCCTAGAGATTTGACTCTCCTCAAAGAATGGTTTGAACCATTGTTGGTGCAGCTTTTCCTGGAAGGTTTGAATCCTGAGTTCAAACTTCGCTCTCAGATGATACAAGCATCTCCTGACTGGCCTACCTTGGATGAAACTATTGCCAGTATTCTTGAAGAAGAGACTCGTTTGGCCAATCAGAAAGCAATGCCACAGATGCATGGTGATAATCGTGCTGCACTTACTCACACACAATCCTCTATGAGTTTTAGAAGTGGTCAAGCAAATACTACTAAGTTTGACCACAAACGGAGAAACAAAGTTGTGTGTGATCATTGTAAGAGACCTGGCCATATGAAAAAGGATTGTTTTGAGTTGATTGGTTATCCTCTAGGATGGCAGCAGAGAAAAATAAACAGGTTCAATGGCAGCGGTAACAGCTTCGAGAAGAAACAAGACCGAGTTCATCTTGCATCATCCACAGGAGAGTTACCTGCAATTGCTGCTCAGGCTCTAGAAGAGTTCAAGGCAAAATTGATGGCTGTTACTGCTGAAGGATCTAGTGAAGCTGCCAGCTCTCGGAGTGCAGAAGGTGAGAACCATTTACTTGTGCCCTGGATAATTGATTCGGGTGCCACAAATCATATGACAGGTTCACAAAAATATTTTTCATCATACATACCTCGTTCAGGAAAGGATAAGGTCTGTATAGCTGATGGATCTTCGTCTCCCATAATGGGATGTGGAACCATTAGTTGTACACGTTCCTTACCTTTAAGTCTTGTCTTACATGTTCTCGATTTTCCTATGAACCTTCTATCTGTCAGTTCAATCACAAAGTCACTTAATTGCAGAGCTATGTTTGTGACGCCCCGATTCAATCGTACACTAATCATACACGCAAACGTGTACGATCAAGATCAGGGACTCACGGGAAGATATCACAACACAACTCTACAAATAAAATAAGTCATACAAGCATCATAATACAAGCCAGGGGCCTCGAGGGCTCGAATACAAGTGCTCGATCATAGACGAGTCAGCGGAAGCAACAATATCTGAGTACAGACATAAGTTAAACAAGTTTGCCTTAAGAAGGCTAGCACAAACTGGAATACAAATCGAAAGAGGCGCAGGCCTCCTGCCTGGGATCCTCCTATACTACTCCTGGTCGTCGTCAGCGGGCTGCACGTAGTAGTAGGCACCTCCAGCGTAGTAGGAGTCATCGTCGATGGTGGCGTCTGGCTCCTGGACTCCAGCATCTGGTTGCGACAACCAGAAAGAAAGGAAAGGGGGAAAAGGGGGGGGGAGAAAGCAACCGTGAGTACTCATCCAAAGTACTCGCAAGCAAGGAACTACACTACATATGCATGGGTATATGTGTAAGGAGGCCATATCAGTGGACTGAACTGCAGAATGCCAGAATAAGAGGGGGATAGCTAGCCCTATCGAAGACTACGCTTCTGGCAGCCTCCGTCTCGCAGCACGTAGAAGAGAGTAGATTGAAGTCCTCCAAGTAGCATCTCCAGTAGCATCGCATAGCATAATCCTACCCGGCGATCCTCTCCTCGTCGCCCTGTAGAAAAGCGATCACCGGGTTGTCTGTGGAACTTGGAAGGGTGTGTTTTATTAAGTATCCGGTTCTAGTTGTCATAAGGTCAAGGTACAACTCCAAGTCGTCCTGTTACCGAAGATCACGGCTATTCGAATAGATTAACTTCCCTGCAGGGGTGCACCAACTTACCCAACACGCTTGATCCCATTTGGCCGGACACACTTTCCTGGGTCATGCCCGGCCTCGGAAGATCAACACGTCGCAGCTCCACCTAGGCAAAACAGAGAGGCCAGCACGCCGGTCTAAACCTAAGCGCACAGGGGTCTGGGCCCATCGCCCATAGCACACCTGCATGTTGCGAGGGCGGCCGGAAGCAGACCTAGCCTAGCAGGTGTTCCAGTCCAATCCGGCGCGCGCCGCTCCGTCGCTGACGTCTGAAGTGCTTCGGCTGATACCACGACGTCGGGATACCCATAACTACTCCCGCGTAGATGGTTAGTGCGTATAGGCTCGTAGCCAACTCAGATCAAATACCAAGATCTCGTTAAGCGTGTTAAGTATCCGCGAACGCCGAACAGGGCCAGGCCCACCTCTCTCCTAGGCGGTCTCAACCTGCCCTGTCGCTCCGCCACAAAGATCCACATAGAGGGCCGTCGGGACAAAGGTCCTT